GGGGCACATTAGTGCTTGTGCTTGAGGTGTTGTAGACGACATGTGACTCAGGCTCAGGCTCAGGCTCAGGGGGGGGCGGGGGGGGCTGTTGGCGTGACACAACCACCGATACCAAAGAAACCCAAATATTAGCGGCGGCGGCGGCGGCGGAGGTGGCGTCACACAGCAAAAAATGAAGTCCACGCCGACAACAGCATCAGTGAATGCCATCAACTGCAACAACAACAACAAATAAAAAAGAACAGAACCATCAATCCTACGGATAGCAAGTAACAGCCAAAGGAGTGACAGCAGCAGCAGCAGCAGCAGCAGCAGCAGCAGCATCAGCAGCATCAACATCGCCCCCCCCCGCACCAAGAAACCGACCTCCTGCTCCAGAGAACGCAGGGACTCGGCAGACCGAGCCGCCTCCTGAGCGCTCCTGCCGATGGCCTCCCCGTGCTCCTGCTGCTCCTTCAGCAGCTGCGCCACCGCCCCCCGGAGCTTTGAAGACGCCTCATCGAGCTGGCGTTGCCGTCCCACCGAGACCGACATCAACAGGTGCCGACAAATGGCGGTGCCATGACAAAGAGGAAGAGAGGGCAGCCAACGGAAGAGGAAAAAAAAAAAAAAGTTGTGTAGTACGTCGTCGCGGCAACGTCACGGGGGGGCGCGTTGCACCCTGGGGTATGGCCGAACGTTCTCCGAAGCAGGGTTAGACTACACTATCGAATACAAGCGCGGGTCGGGCGGGGGGGTGTCAGGTACGGGTATCGATGGAGGGAGACCAGTGGAGGAGGTACGGCCAGCATTGCCGGGCGTAGAGTCTACATACGGAGCTACCGAACACCCACACACCCCCTCCGAGGATGCACACAACCACGCCCGCCACATATACAGCCTTCCCCGCGTTGCAGACACACATGCAAGTACTTATACACGGGAAAAAAGTCTGCAAACGCGGGGCAGCGTCTTTGAGGTTTAATGCCAAGGCCTTGAAATCACGGGACACATGGTTCTGAAAAATAAATTCGTCTTGAAGGTGTGGTGTAGACGTAAACCCTTAACCCGAACCTTCCTAAAAAACGGAGGGACCACTGCACCTGGGACTGCGTGCCGGCGGCAGTTTTCTTGTACATCTCCGCCTCCTGTTCGAAGCGCGAGCTCTCCTCGCGAGCGGCAGCGAGCTCGTCCTCCTTCTGCCGCATGGCGTCCGACGCCTCCCTCTCCGAGCTGGCCACGTCGTGGTTTAGCACCTGCAGCTCTCCTGTCAGCCTCGCCGCCTCTCTGCGGAGGGAACCTACGATACGATACAACACGATACGATACGGTAGAACAGGAAGAGAGATGATGGCCGTGCGCAAGGACCGCCAGCTTCGATCTCGAGCCTGGCGTTCATCAATCTTGTCGGGCGTTTTTGAACCTTATGCCTGATGTGCAGGGCTCAGAGGGGGGAGTGTCGTGAAACTACTGTGTTTCTTGACCCGAATCGGGTACGACATGAATCGTGCATCTTTGGCTATCGATGAGAGGCAACTGGCGTGACCCACAGGCTAACAAGAAAATGAAGTAGAAATGAGAGGGTCCATCAACTAGAAAACATGTAGGGCGGGACACGAAATAATCTAAGGCTTTGTTGTCGGTGAAAGCTCGGATATCGTCAACAAGAACCGGTTTGGGCAACACACCAAACCAGCCATGCACATCGAGGATGCGAGCAAACAGTCCTCGTACTGTCCATCCGTCCTTACCAAACCAAAGGCAGAAACTTTCCCTTTTCACAGACAACCCTAAAGCCTGCACAGAGCGCTCCAATCTCAACAGTCGAGCACTCACTCGATACTCCCACCTCCCCCCCTCACACTTACACTCACGCCAGCGAAGATCACCTTAATCTCAAACACCAGTCGTACATTTGACACTTCAGCCTCCCCCTCGAGCCTGCAAAATTCGCGCAAACATCACCACCAGTCGAAAACTCGACACACCCATCCACCCCCACAAAAACACAGCACCAAGGACGACAACCCCTCCCCCCCCCCCCCCCCCCCCCCCCCCCCCCCCCCCCCCCCC